TCTACTAACCTTCCTCTTCAACCTGACAAAGAACAGATAAATGCCTACTCACGCTGTCAGTTTGTCTACAGACACTGCATGTGCATGCCCGAGAAGAAGCCAATCCTGAAATGAAAGTCAGCTATCTGATAGAAAAACTGATGTCTGAATCTTTGGAGCTTGACTTCTGTCTCCTAAAAATTGTTTGGCTTCATAAACCTTATGGACTCATGTCTTTCAAAATGTGCTCCAAATACAGATCTTAAAAGCTCTCGAATACCAAGGATAAAGTATACTAATTGCTTCAGGGAGTACAAACACATATTAAGCAGAATCCTTGCCTTTGAGAAAATTATTGTTTCTCTCCCTAAGATGTAAACGCCAAGAAACTCAAACTTTCTCAGTCAAACACTACAACTCTAACAACTAGAATGGTACTTGGCAAATGGAAGGTGATCAAAATATTTGCCAACAAGTCAGTGAACATGGAAACAAAGTCAACATGAGAATATGCCATGTTAAACAGTGGTGCTATTCTAAGGCCAGCAAAAGTTAAAAGAAAGAGATTAGGGTAGGCCAAAATAGTCTGAGAAGGTGGTGGGGGTGGAGTGGGGATGGGAATGGTAGTTGAAAGACTTAGATGGAGAGGAAGAGGGGAACAAGTTGGTCAAGACTAGAGATGGAAAGACCAAATGTGTGGGGAGGTGAGAGAGGAAGCTAGGGTGACCGGAGGAGAGAGTGAAAGCTGGAAGGGATGAGGAGAAGAGGGAAAATCAGCCCTTGCATCCCACTTGGTCGCAATGTACATTTAAAAAATCATTTTCTACATCCTCAGTGTAAGCTCTAAAGGGCACAGAGCCTCAGAGAAGGCATACATCTTAAAAAGCAATGGGAGCAAGAGCCAATCCTGGGGGCCCACATAAAGGTAAAATTTGGGTTATAAAAAAGTTTGAAATAAGTTCCATAGCTTACTAAAACTTATGGTTTATCAGGGAATAATATAAGTCACAAGCCTAAATTCACTAGTAACCGTCACACAAAGATAAACTCTTTTTTCCCCCTATTTTTATAGGTTTAAGGTATACAAGTGTAGTTTTGTACACAAAGATAAACTCCTAAGTGAAACTTATTTTTAACAACACAGTGTATGATGACCATTTATGTACCTAACCCTGAATGGTACCCCATAGCTTTAAAAAAACCATAGCAAGGTAAATTTAATAGATTTTATTGAAATTATAACTTTTAACTAATATTAACCAGAGAATGACGCTATTTGCTAATTCTGGAAGACCTAGAACTATGTAGACGTCAAAAGCTCCAAATGAGTCTTTGTCAGACAGTCACAATTGTGAAGACAGCTTCAGATAAACCCAACAATTGATATGCTGTAAATATCCTTGTTCTTTCATCAGTCTCTAGCTAAATTTAGTGGCACGGTTCCCTTTGTTCAAGAATTACTCTGGATAACTCCATATTTATATTCCCAAAGGCAGAGTACTTTAGACATATTTATTAAACAAGCTGGCTGCATGGATGGCCAAATGAATAAGCCATTAAATGACTGTATTAAGATCTCTGAGATGTAACGCTGCACATATGTGGATCCTAGATCCAGCCAGGGCTAAGACTTCCTGACTAACATGTCCTTCATATTCGGTAACAATCAGACTGGGATTCAAATGGTCAGAAGAGGCAAGAGAGTCTTCTATACAAAGGAGGAGAGTTACTCTAGGCAAGGATGGTGGTGCTTGTGAGAGCAGGGCCGGATTCTCTGTGAAGAGAATGAAGTCCCTTACAGGGCCCTTCAAGGAGCCCTTGTAATGTGTTCCATGGTCACAGACTTCTGTAAAACTTACCAAAGTAAGACATAATCAAAATCATGCTTCTAAAGAGGGCCCTCAAATCAAGTTGCAGGCTCCATGCAACCTGGCTCTGCCCCTGCTTAACGGGTCGGAAGAGGATGGCAGTGGGACGTATGCTGATAACCACTGAGAATATTGTCAGAGCAGTGGGAACCAGAGCTTGGGTGCTAGCAAATTTCTGGGCAGTCTATTTCTTTTTTAAAACACCATTTCTAGGCTCACAGTTCTCATATCACGACTTTCCTTTCAGCTTATACGTCTTCTTTGCAAATGAAGTCACAAGAGACATTCAGCTGTTACAAACTTCATGTCAAGCTTTGAAGTGCTTTTTAATAGCAGAAATATTTGGCTCACGTGTGGGCTTTGTAACTATGGTAAATACCTCTTAGTTATCTGTCGCTACTGTTATTCCACACCTCCAATTTGGAGGAGACATTCTGCATATGCATTGAGGCACTAAAAAAGAATATTGAACTATATCTTAGCTCTTTTGTGAATGGTTTCCTTTTATTTCTTCTCTCATGGAACTAATACTTTCATCACACTGTGCTGGTTATGGGTGGGAAAGCGGTGGATGGAGAGGGAATACTGATTATTACATCACTGGTTGGCAGTTTCTCTTGCTTCTTGACAGTTAAGTGGTCAAGTATCTCCTAATATAAGATCAAGGCATTTCAAGGACTGACTCATCCCTCTGTTTCCGAAAAAATACCGTAGTAGACTTTGGACAACATGCTTGCAGTGGCTAAAGGCAAAGAAACTTACCAAATTCATGAGACAAAAACAGAAAAAAAAAAAATCTCATCCTGGAAGCTTCTGTATGACTGTTGACATATAGATTATATGTCCATGTACATATCAGAACAATATATTTAGAAATAGCACTTTGAGAACAGAAAAATAGGAACAAAGGCCATGAATTAAGCATACAGGATATGTCCTGTGTTGAACAATGACATTTTGCTTCTTTATATAACTTAATTATTTTACAAAGAGATGATGGAAAATACTATTACACTTCATAAGTTAAACACTTGACATTTTTATTCCTCAAAATGCAACATTTTAGAAGTCTAGATATGTTTATTAATTAGTGATTATTAACACCCAGTAAACAACATTATGTCTTGTAAAAACACAATCTCACTTCACAGCATGAAGCTGAAATCTATTATTCCCTGATTCCATATGCTGAAATACACTCAAATGGTCACAAATGACCTTAAGCATTAAATACATGTAAATGAGGACAACACAGAAAATGCACTTTTGATTGATAACTAAAAGACCAGGTTGAAAATCATGTCTAAAACTGAAGTCCTCTCCAGAAGGGGGTGGCCATCTGCCCTGTGGAGGAAAGGCTGGCCTAAGAATGAAGAACCAGCCAGGCTCGGTGGCTCAGCCTGTAATACCGTGCCTTTGGGAGGCTGAGGTGAGTGGATTGCCTGAGCCCATGGGTTCGAGACCCGCCTGGGCAGCAAGACCTCATTTCTACAATAAATCAAAAAATCAGCTGGGCGTGGTAGCGCATGCCTGTAATTTCGGCTACTTGGGAAGGCTGAGGTGGAAGGATCACCGGAGCCCAGCAGGTCGAGGCTGCGATGGCCGGGAACGGCCACTGCACTCCAGTCTGGGCGACAGAGTGAGACTCCAACTCAAAAAAAAAAAGAATGAAGAACCCACAGGTAAGGGGACCCCTTCTCTCCCCTGCAACCTGCTCTAGGTCAGCTGGCAAACAGAATTGGTTTGCTCATGTATATGAGAAACCCAGAGCATGTTGACCTCTGAGCGATCAGCCTACTCTGAACATTTTCATGTAGGGTTTTAAAATATATATATGGACACTTCATTACATTCACCAACTAATAAAAAAATATATATTGCTATTCCATAGCCTCACGCCAATGTGTGGACCACACTGGCTTTGAAACATTGTAGCTATCCATTCATCTCTTTTCTTTTTTTTTGAGAACTAGTCTCATTCTGTTGCCTGAACTGGAGTGTAGTGGCATGATTACAGCTACTGCAGCTCGAAACTGCTGGACCCTGGTAATCCTTCCACCTCAGCCTTCCAAGTAGCTGGGACTATAGTCATGCGCCACCACGCCTGGCTAATTTTTTGTTTTTTAATTTACTGTAGAGTTGAGATCTCGCCATGTTGCCCAGGCTGGTCTTGAACTTCTGGGCTTAGGCAATCCTCTTGCCTTGGCCTCCCAAAGTGCTGGGATTACAGGCGTGAACCACCGCACCCGGCCTCTTTTCTTTTTTAATAACACTGGGCAGGTAGGGTAGGTGGGAGCATGTCCTCAACACTGTGAAAACTCAAAATACTAGAGGAAGACAGATTAACAGCAATGAATAAAATAATTAATTTTAAATGGAATTGTTCTTCTAATAAAGTCTGTGCTTCAATACGTGAGAAAAATTGCACAAATATAGATATGCCATGTGCATACTATTACATGATTATTCATTTCTCTAGGTCCATTACTAACAGGGCAAAAATAAAATGGAGCATCACAGAACACACCATTTCTCCTAGTTTGGATAAGAATGAACAGAATCTAAGAGCATGAACATGTAGTCTATTTTGAAATGATGGACTAGACCAGGCTTTCTCGGTCTTGGCACTTGACATTTGGGGTCAGATGCTTCTCTGCTGTAGGGGACTGTCCCGTGCACTGGTGGATGTTTAGTGGAAACCCTGGCCTCTACCACTAGATGCCAGTAGCAACACTCCCCCCTTTCCTCTCAAGTCATGGCAATAAGAAAAATGCCTCTAGAGAATGCCAAAAGTCCCCTGGGAGGCAACGCTGTCCCCAGGTAGAGAATCCCTGGAGAAGAGTGATTGAAGGAGTTCCCAGGCTGGCCTTCTCTCAACCTATATTGTATAATCTCAACCCACAAATCACCCCCAACCCAGTGTTTAATATGTTCAGTTTTCTCATCTGTTAATTGGACATAATGAGAGTGTCTGCTTGCCTCTTAGGGTTCTTGTGAGTATTACACAAGACAATGCATATAAAGTGTTTAAAACAGTGCCTGACACACAGTAAGTGCTCAATAAATGTTAGCTATTTTTATTTTTAATAGTCATCCATGGTATCAAGAAATGCAGTTTCAGCTTGAGTGTTTTAAAGCAGAAAGGTATCTTACCAGCTTGATATTTTCTGAGTCTTCAACACACCAGCCTGCTGATTCCTTGTGATGATATCTTGTACATCTACAGGATGCAGTTAAGAAAGCGTCTGCAGTGATTACCAATAGACTAAATAATAATTTTTTTTTAAAAAGCCCCCAAACACAGCAATCTTCTTATCATATTTGAATGCAACACAGTGAAAAGAAGAGCTATAGGGTGTGAGGCAGGAGATGGGACCAGCTCTGGCTCTACCATGAACTCACCACAGGCAAGCTCTTTTACTTCCCTGGGCTGCAGTTACCTTCAGGTAGCACCATGGCAAGACCCAGAGTCATGGGTACTGCTGGGAATGACTGTCCCATAAGTGCCATGCCCCACTTGCTTAAAAGAGCAAGGAGTAAGCCGAGCTCGGTGGCTCAGCCTGTAATCCCACGCCTTGGGAGGCTGAGGTGAGTGGATTGCCTGAGCCTGCGGGTTCAAGACCCGCCTGGGCAACTTGGTGAGACCTCATCTCTACAATAAACCAAAAAATTAGCTGGGTGTGGTAGCGCGCGCTTGTAGTTCCAGCTACTTGGAAGGCTGAGGCGGAAGGATCGCCGGAGCCCAGGAGGTGGAGGCTGCGGTGGCCGGGAGTGGCCATTGCACTCCAGTCTGGGTGACAGAGTGAGACTCCAACTCAAAAAAAAACCAAAACAAAACAGAGCAAGGACTACAAAGGCAAACATCGCTCAGCCAGCGGGAAGGGCAATGGCAGTCTTCCAAGAGTTTCCGGGTTGAAGTCTTTCCAGTCTCCTAAACACAGTAGGGAGGCCGGGGAGAAGCAGCAGGGAAAGACTTGGGAGGAAGTGAGAAGAAAAAGATGGAGGAAAGCTTGAAGAATCTTTGAGAGAAAATGAATTACCGAAGAAGAAAATCGATCTAGTGAAAGGTCCCCTGAAGAACTGTCTTTACTGACTTATCTTTGGCTGTTGGCCATCTGCTGGCATGTCAGGACTTGTATAAAAGAACCACATTTATGGAAGAGACGTTTTGGGGAGCTGGTTCATTATCTCACACAGTGACATCTTTTAAGAGATGGGAATGATTATCAGGCTTCAACAACAGGAAAGGCTGGACTGCAGATCAACTGATGTTGTTTCCACTTCTGGGCGCAACAAATCTTATAGCTGTTGGTCTTTCTCTCTTTGCTCTGGCCCCTATGCAACGCGGAGCCAAGTGTGTGACCCAATGCTAACAGCCACGAGGGTTTCCTATAGCATATATTTTCCACACTGACCTCTATTCCTGGCTTTGTCATCTTTTCCTGGCTTTCTAATTTCCAATTGCTCTCGTTTCTCATTTATTTTATATGGCATATTCCATGTGTCACTGCAAGAAGTCTCAAAATCCCTCTTTAGAATAAGGCAGGTTTAAATAAACAAGAAATAAAATAATTCCGTGAAGAATGCAAGCTGTACTAAATTGGGCCCATGGGGAGGACACCAAGCAGACGAGCGATGTTCTCCTATTGCTCAGAAAAACAGATTTCCTGAATGCTCAAAGCAAGCATTGGCCAAGGTCTCCCTGCAGAAACAGAGCCACAGGACTTTTTAACCCAAATCCCTGCTTGAACCACCAGACACACCCATTTCTTTGAGTGAATAAGCAGGTACTGTGATAGCTTTCTTCCCCAAGGAGTGGGTAGGAAAAATCAATTAGGTCTCCTAATGAAGGGCTTTGTTGAGGTTTACAAAAGTGCTATAATGCAGACTTTTTTTTCCCGGGTGAACTTTCCTGTATGCAAATTAAATACCGTTAAATTACATTCATTAAAAAAATAAAAGAGACTAATTTGCCTAGTTGTTTTGATTAACTAAAATGACACATCGGCCTACAGTTCTGTCTATTTCAGGAAGGAAGTATTTCAGGAAAGTCTTCTAAATGAAATGTCTTGCAGAAAAGGACAGCTGACATCTTTATTCTGAGAAGAACAAAATTAGTAAAGAGTCAACTGACAACTGTTTTTGATTAAGTTCCCCCACACTCCAGCCACACCCTACTCAGGGTTGCCATGGCATCCAACCACAAGCCATAATGTGCCTGGTACACCTGTAGCGTCGTATGAGTACATGACTAATCTATCAAGCAAAACATATTATTTTGTTAGTGGAGGTAATACTTCTTATAAAATAGTCGCAGGGAAGTTAAATTATATAACTCGGTAAACCTATTAATAATTTTTAGTAAACATCTTAACACTATATACTTTTATACAATTTATAAACCTGTGACTCCAGGTGGTCAGGCTGAAGCAAGCATATATATTTATATTCTAGAAGCTATTTTTTAAAAATAAAAAAATTCACAGCAGTATTTAGGCTGCTTTATTTTTAGAACCGGGCAGGAAATATATTTTGTGGTTTAGGAAGTGTTTTTAAATATATTAAAACAAGTACAAAGATTTTAAAGATTGGCAATCATATTGTGAAATATTACCTTAAGAGATATATTCTGATATCCTGGCTCCCACCCTTTACTTTAGGTCAGATTTTGACGGTTCTTCTGGATGGCACGGTGTCCAGTAATAGATTTTATCATTCTTCCGTGTCACCTCAGGGTAATAAAGGAAATCCAATCAAATTGAGTCAATATGTCTAGGATAGTGTTCAAGAAGACAGACCAAATCGTGTTTTCTGAACTACACCCACCTTCTGAAAGAGTTCAGTGGGAGGAGCTGGCTGCAAAAAAAGCCTTAATGTGATTTCTGATTAAATGAATACAGAGCAATTACTTCCAATCCCCTTGTCTGAGCAACTGACTGCCAGAGTTACAGGATATGAGTATGTGGCTAAAAGGAAACCAGGATTCTATCTCTAAATTTTTTTTTCTCAAATAATGCACTGTTCAGAAGTGGGGCTCCATTTAATTTTGTCTTGGTAGATTTTTATTCTTAAAAAATATATTTTTAGGTCAGGCTTGGTGGCTGAGCCTGTAATCCCAGCACTTTGGGAGGCTGAGGTGAGTAGGTTGCCTGAGCCCGCGGGTTCGAGACCCGCCCGGGAAGTGTGCACTTGCAGTTCCAGCTACTTGGAATGCTGAGGCGGAAGGATTGCCGGAGCCCAGCAGGTCGAGGCTGCAGTGGGCTGGGAGCGTGCCACTGCACTCCAGTCTGGGTGATGGAGTGAGGTTCCAACTCAAAAAAAAAAAAAAAAAAAAAAAAAAAATATATATATATATATATATACACACACACACACAATAGTAATAACTGTCATTTCAACAAATTATGTATTTTATTTACATATAGCATATTGTTTAAATATTAGCCTCTTCCTGCAATTAGCGATCATTATATTTATCAGTAGTTGTATATACATTTTGAGAGTTGACGTTGTTCTTTAAGCAAGAAAGTATTTTAAAAATAATAACACTGCGATTCACAAAGCACTGCCTTCTTGGTTAATGTAATTTTTATTTTCATTGGAATACCAGAAGTGAGGATAGGAAACTATGAGATGATTGTATGAATTCTATATATTTTGACCTCTGAACTTTTAAAATAAAATGCCTGATGTGGCGATATTTACTAATTTGAGTCTACAAAATTTTTTTTTTTGAGTTGGGGTCTCACTTTGTCACCCAGGCTGAAGTGCAGTGGTAGCATCACGGTTCACCAAAGCCTCAACTTCCTGGGCTCTGGTGATCCTTCTGCCTCAGCCTCCTGAGTACTGGTACTACAGGCGCATGCCACCATGTCCAGCTTATGTTTTGATTTTTTTGATGAGACGAGGTCTTGCTATGTTGCCCAGGTTGGCCTCGAACTCCTGTGCTCAAGCAATCCTCCCACCTTGACCTCCCAAAGTGCTGGGATTACAGGCATGAGCCATCATAACCAGCTACTGCAAAATATTCTTAAATGTGCTTCTTACTCTAATGAATTGAAAGGATGACACTGAGGTACTATGAGCTCTCTGTCAATAATGCCAACTGTTCACTTTATGGACTTTTCTTCCAGAGGTTGATGAGGAAATGCAAGATGACATGCACCAAATCATTTTAGCTTTTGGTGAAACAGAATAGTTTAATGGGGGACAAAAACTCACACAAAACATAAGTTTTGAGATCAGATGAAACTGGTTTCTAGGGCTGGTTCTGATGCTTAGTGGCTGTGTGTCCTTGGGTAAATTAACCACTCTGAGCTCTATCTCTAAAACAGAAATAATGATACCTCCTTAATGGGCTTAGTGGAGTGTCACATGATAGGCCTGACACATGGTAGGTGCCTAACTCATGTCAATTCATTATCCTTTTTCATAACTCAGGCAAAAGCTTGGATAGGATGAAGAGGCTGGTGATATAAATAAGGTTGGGCAGTTAATGCTTTATTTTCTTGCCCTGTGGCTCCAAATTAATTATGTGAACTCTATAGTGTAAAATTTAAATAACTAGAAGGAATCAAAGAACTTCCCTGTAGTTTTTCAGTATCTTTCACATTTTTAAATGTGTTCTAGGTCTAGGCAAAAATTTGTGTCCCACAAGGCCAGGGACTAGTTTAGCACCTGAAATGGCATGCCATTAATACTGGTTGCATTATTCTATTCTTTTCTTCCTTCTTTTTTTTTTACTTTAAAATATATATATAAAGTAGAGATGAGGCTTTCCTCTGTTTTCCAGGGCAGTCTCAAACTACTGGCCTCAAGTAATCCTCCCGCCTCAGTCTCCCAAAGTGCTGGGACAGGCGAAAGTCACTGCACCGAGGCTGATTACAATGATTTTAATCTAATTTTAAAAGATACTTGTTGAGCTCCTACTCAAGGTGAGGCACATAGAGTTGACTTAGGACATGGCTGATGACAGTACAGCTGGCACTGAACTTGGAGGAGGGGGCTTGGACACAGGAAGATGGCCTGGGGGTTCCAAGTTGTCAACCATCCATAGCACAGGCTGCACAGCCCACATGAAGCTTTATTGATTGATTACTCAAGTCAGGGATTCTGTTAAATAAAAATAATGTTAAACCTGGGGTATCGCCTTTAAGAAGCATGGGAGACATCAATTTTTGGAGAGTGCTATGCTCAAGACCATGTCCAGACTACCATGGAGATAAGATGCCTGGGTCAGGGGCATAGAGAATTGGGTCACCAAGCACTGAGATTTTCTCCAGAGGACATGCTAGGCATTTACTAAGGAAGCAATCAAAGCAGAGTACTTGTGCTGGGTGAACTGGTCATTGTAGCTAGAGAAGATTGCTCGCCTTTAGAACGTCTACTTGTAATCATTATGATTTGGAAGAGGCTTAGCATCAGTAATAACTCAGGATACCATTTCTCTCCCCTCTTCTTGTCATCACCAGCTACAAACCTTATTGAGTAACTATTATCTGTGGGCAGTTGGAGATTTCTTTGGCAATGCCAAAGAAAAAAGAACTCATTTCACACTATTTTAGAATGAACTTGAGAACTGGGTGAACCAAGTGATCCCTTCTCTAATTTTCTCCCTTTGTTCTCTTGGGGTACAGATAAAATGGCATCTATAGTGAGGGGCAGCTCTCAGGGAGGGGGACGCTGGGCTAGACCCAGCAATACAGTTTAAGGACCAAGGAGACCTTAGGGAAAACTACCCATGAATCTAAGAAAATATTCAGGACTTACAAAATTCATTTTTACCTCAAGTCTTAATCTCTTATCAGATATCTCTGTTTAATAAATCTCAGATCAACATCTAGCTTTCCAGGGTTGAGGTAGAGAGCTTGAGAAGACATAGGCAATCCATCTGATACATTTTAGGGAGATAATAAATAAACTCACAACTGGTTGACATGCTTCTGTGACATAAAGATTCAGAACTAATCCATTCATGGCTTCACATATTTAAAAAAATAGAAATAATAGAAGATTAAAAGGAAGGCACAGAAAATGCTATTTTTTACAGAATCTTAGAAGCTTAAGAGACTAAGAAGTAAGACTCAGTTGGATTCATTAAATTCAGAAGCCAAGAACAACAAAAATAATTTTTAAAATGATGAGAATAATATACAGGCCAATACTCAGATGTAATGTGCCATTGCCAGGTCGATTTCCAATTACATTTCACTGATGTATTCATTTGTTTCTTAATGTGCTCATCTTGTCCATTAAGAATAATTAGCAGCTTTGCTTAGAGATTTTCTGGCTCCTGGCAATGTTTCTCCCCTTTTTTTGTTGACATCCACTTTTACTTTTTAGAAAGTAATTTTTGAATAATATCCTACAACTGCTGTATAATTTAGGTTTCCTAAAATTTTAAAGGAAAGATGTAAACAGTAATTTTTAAATGAGTTTGTTTCAATCTATATGCATCAATAGTATGTGATTCAGGGAATTTGTTACTCTTACAGAAAGTGGCCACACAGATAGGAAAAAAAATTCATTCATATTAACCTCAGTCAGTAAAACAGATTACGACAAATGCCAATTGTAAGCTCTGCTAGCAAATCAAGAATAACATTAGTATTAAAAGCAGGAAAAAAACACACTGCCAATTTTAAGGCTTTCTGCATGCTTTTTTCTCTTAATTAAAAAACATTAGATCTAGTGACAACAGGAAAAGGCACACAAACATAGAACAACTGCACGATGGAAACTGAACTCCATCAGGGAAGTCTTAAGATGAAATAAAACACACTACCAGTTCTGGTCTGCATCCTGAAAGAAACTACTTTATCTACATTGTAAAGTTCTTCCCCTCCTGCCCGTTGGCACCCTGCTATATTAAACCCATTGTAAAACCCAGCACAATAAAGCACTCTCAGGGCTGAGCTTCTGGGGACCAAATGTTAAAAATCCATTTTCTTGGGAGGGGGCTGTACCAATCATTTCTTTGAAAAGCTGGCAGGATGAATACGGAATCTGAGATTTCCTCTCTGATTTCAAGAGCTGGCATGGCATCTTTACTGTTTAAAGCTAAGGTGTGTTAATTAATGACATTAGCATTGCCTCCCTTCTTGGGAAGCTCTGTGGCTCAATAAGAATGTGAGTACAATTAAATTTACAGACTGACTACAGATGTTTCGCATAGTTTGATAAAAGTTCTAATTGGTTTCTGATGCTATTAAATCAGACACCTGCTGACTTGAGAAAAACCTCAGGTTTCTGGGCCCAATCTGAAAGTTTCCATGGCTAAAATAACCTTTTCTTGTCCAATAATCCTGCTCCTCCCCGGCAAAGAAGCATCTGTTGGGGCTGAGCTGGCATACCTGGGCTTCCTCTTGCTGTGTTCCCTGACATAAGGAGGAGGAGCACAGTGAAATGATACAGGCACAGCATAACTCAGAATAGAGCACAGTGAATGAAACAACACCAGCTCATCTTCAGGAATATTTTGAAAAACTTGCGACAGTCTCAAGAACGTGATTAAAATCCTGCATTTTAAAAAAGGAAGCACCTTTTGTGATCTCTTTCCCTTGTGTGAAAGGCCAAGATTGTGATTGGCTGTTTTTCCTTCCTGAATTTTTTTTTTAAGTCTGTCAGGCAATTAGCTGGGTGGGGCTGTGTAGAGCACACAAGTGCTACTGAACAATGTTCGCTACTGTGCCCCTTGTGTCTCCTTGCTCCTGTTCCAGCAGTCGGATGGAGCTGCTGCAAATTTTATTTTCAAAAAGATTATAGAGCAGAGGTAGAAAAATGAACATTGAAAATAGGTTTGATGGGAGATGCCACAAAATCAAAACTGCTTTGGCATTTTAGGGGCTTCACATTCAAATAAGTAGATTGCCTCCCTCCCGATGTAAATGTAAGGTGCGCGTGTGCGCGCGCACACACACACACACACACACACACACACACACACACACACACAATCCAAAGCAAACATATCTTCTTCCACTTTTCTTCTCTGTTTCTAACGGCTGCTAACTGCCCCTGAACAAATCAGCTCAGCTGCTAAAGTAGCCACAAATTATGCTTGCTTTCTTAGTTAAAGTACAGTTCAATTTTCATGAACTCTGTGTACATACTAGGAAAGCATAATCTAATATAATGGGTTTGGAACTATAATAGCATAGCAGGAAAAAAGAGATAGATTTATAATCCTAAATAAAAAGAAAGAATGAAGAACTGATAGCTGTTTCCAGTGTGGGATACAGGTAGACTCCTCCACAATTAGAGAGGCACAATATTACATGGTACATACAATATCAAATGTATAAAAGGTAATAACAAACATGAAGCTAGGAGTCACATTTCCAAGCAATATCCAATACCACAAATTATTAAATAATTTATTTCATACTAGCAAATTTCAATGGAAATAAAAGGTCAAGATTGCTTAAAAATTCTTATGGAAAACATTTTCTTACTGCTTTGAGAAATCCACAAAACATATGTTTTGTCTATAAAAAATCTATTGAAAGGGAAAAAACCACATAGTTGTATGCAATGAATTCATATATTTCCACTTTTTCTTAATTACTTATCGTGTGTGTGTGAGGGGGAACTCTCTTTTTATACCCCATGCTGTCTTTCTTTATATCAATTGTTCCTCAGCCGGGAAAAAGGAATGAGCACAACAAACCCGTTTTCTATCTGAATAAGGATACTTCTGATGGCCTTTTCATTCCCATCAGTTAACAGAACTTCTTTGACATCTGCAGAAATAGCAACCTGAAAAAAAAAAAGGGAGCACAGCAAACAATGAGCAAATATGCTTGTCTGTGTGGAAGTGAAGACAGGAGTGACAAGCCTTCAGTATCATGCTTCCTCACCTATTTCTCTGTAACAATCTTCAATCTTTTTTCATTTTATGTCTGCATTATTTTAATCATTCAATCAAATCAGTCAATACTTTTATCATTCCATTTGCGGGAGCCTCTATCTTGCTATCATTCTGTTCGGTAATTGCATTGTGACAGCGGATGATGGTATTCTGAGAGGCTTTCATTTGTGGGCTTCTGTTTATCTAGTAGAGCCATCATACAAGGCTGTCACTCTGCCTTTCAGCTTGCTTCTGTCTGACTGCCTGATGCCCTTCATATAACTTTGCATTGCAGGCAGATGGCTTTGTGAGGGTAATTTTTTTGTGAGCTTTGACATGCTCGCACATTGGGCTGTAACCTCGACACATTGTATAAGAGCGACAGGTTTGTCAAATGCCAATCAGTGTAACAATATGCTTTTATTTGTAGAGACATAAAAACTTGTCTAATGCACTGTGCTGCTACATAATATCTCCTGAATACATGACTCAGAACCCAGAGAATGGGGAACGACGTTCCTGAATGGCCAATCTAATTCAAAAGAATCTAATTACTGAGCGCTCTGGATCATGTTTGTTGGTATAATAATGCAGGCAAAACATTAGCAGCAATATCATGGTGCTCCAACTGTGATTCGCCAGGCTATTCCTGTATCTTAGCAAATGGGACTATAATCTGAAAAAAAAAAAAAAAAAAGCTTTCGCTATGGCAAAGAAAGACTGCGAGGCCTGGAATGTCACAACAAGCGATATTGACTACACTGAGGTAAAATGTTGCTGCTCATCGAGGCAACCATAAAATCAATATGATCCGAAAGTAAGTCAATCTAGAAGGTCTCTCAAGACCCGGCAGCTTGACCGCAGCTGATGCTGTTGACGGTTCTCTGACCCAGCAGTTGGAGGCCCTGGAACATTTTTCCTTTTGTTTCTCCCTCTGAATGGGATTGGAATTGAGAAAAGACCTACCATGAGCCCAGCCAAGCATGTCATGCCACCCCCTAGCTCACACACAGCAAGGTCCCTGAAAGAGAGAAAAGAAATGGTAGAACCCATACAAATTAGATGAAAATGGTCAGAGAGATATATATGTTACAAGAACAAATTGCCATCTGCAGTAAGAACGGCGCTACCAGGAAGTTGTAGGGACATGACTAGGCTACCTCATGTCGTTTTGCGTTTTAAAAATAATTATGAAATAGAAAAGTCACAAAGCAGGCAAATCAGTGGGGGTTCCCTCATTAGTGTTCACTGCAACATTACCACCGCTGAGCTGAAAAATCTGAGAAGGTTCCCTTTTTTTCCCTTGTCAATGGCGCTGTCTTTTAGAACTAAACTAGCTAGAGTAGCGAAAGATAATTGTTAGGAACGGATAACACTGTTAATCCACATTCATTCCTTCAAAAACAGTTAGACAAGTAAACGAAGAATATATATGAGTGTGTATATACCTATATTATAGTCACATACACACAACATACACACAAATAAATGCAATCCAGTATTTAAAAAGAAAAATTCCAAAACAAACGCAAACTGTTCTTTATGATCAGTCCCCATAAAGAACAATTACACAAAGAGCATTTAGCAATTAACACTTACATCACAATTGACCCCAACACAACACAGTGAATAAACAATGCAGGGACATAATATGGCTAAACCAGCAAACCCAGGCTAAAGTAATGAGCGGACTCTGACTTCACTGCTCAGAGGTAAAACAGCTCAGGGGTTAAAGCTGACCGTCTAGTGTGGCACTCTGCACTCACCTTTCCCTTTGTGCCTAAATATCAGCCCTCAATGTGTGACATTCTCACCCTGGCCCACTGCTGGCTGATTGGTGCTCCGGTCAAGCTTAAGCACAGCGAGATGAGCACATGCCAGACTCCAGGGTAGCTCTGCAGCCCAATTCAAAACTGCCCTGGTCTCATTTTATATGCTTAGACTCTTCAGGCTGTTTCCTCTTCCCAGTTAGGGAAGTTTATTACCTCAAGAGGAGGGAAAACAAACAAAAAGCAACATTAAAAGGGCGGAGCAGTGGGAATAGGGAGAGGGAGAGGGGAAGCCAAGCAAGCATATTCATATTTTGAAACACACTTAATGAGTGTTCAGTTGTTCAAAGCAATTATAGTCTGGTTGGTAAATATGGACCCACAGAGCTTCAAAAAAAATACATATTATTGACCCAATCTTCTATGTCATATTGTTGCACACCATGATCACTAAGGGTTTATTTGAACTCATAATGGAAATTCAGAAAGTATACATTGGATGACTTTTATAAAATGAGAATTAAAATGGAAAACCTATATTTTCTGGGTCTACCAAACATCTTTAGAATGTTCAAATAAAAGGATTTTTTTTTCTTTTTCATACATCCTGTCCATGGGTTTGATCTATAAGGCACACTAATAGTTGAAAACACTTATTTCCATAGCATGGATCTGTAATGGTAATTTATATTTCCCAAATATATATTGTTAGGTATATAAATAAAAATATCTCTAAAACCAGGATGAGATGGCATCTTTAAATAATAGCTGTGAGGTATTTATTTATCAAATATTCTGCAGCAATTTCCCTAGCGGAAGTTTAAAGAATGTCTTTATTGGTTTTTTGTTTTTGTTTTTTTGACCTTCACAATCAGTAAGGATTGATTGGCGCTTCACTTTTGTTTCCCCCAAATCAAAGTGAAATAAAATGCCTTGAGTGGAAATCAAAAGCCTTTGACATACAGAAAGAAGCTCGCTGTGCAATATTAGTACCCAAAGGCAATACTGATTTCTTTTCAGAAGCAACATGTGTTCATTGTGAACTTTTTTCCTTTCTTTCTGTTTTTCTTTGCTTACTTGCTTTCTCTTTCCTTCTTTCTTTCTTTTTTTCTCTCTAACAATTTAATTTGAAGAATGCAATCATGGCCATTTACAATATGCAGATTCAATATCCACTATGGGCTAAAAAAGTATCTTTTAAGTGTAGCTCTGTACCTGAATATATCACTATGCTTGAGGCAGTAGTAAGCCAAAACCTCTTCAGATGGCCAGATGCCTAGAAAACACAAGAGGAGAGACTTTTTGATTACAGAAGTCATTCTGTTAAGAAACCGTCTTTAAAAATAATGTCCAATACAAGCGATTTCAACTTGAATCGTACTTAGCATAGTTATTACTTGTAATATGTCATACCACATGAGTTTCTTTCCTTGTTATTTTTATAATGATGAGTTTTATAACCCTTTTCCCCAGGATAATAAAATATTCTAAATAAATTATACAAGTGGAAATCATGAATAGTAAAAACAATAACAGCCAAAGTTACAAATATCAAAAGTTAAATTTTGATGGCACTTCAGATAGGTCTTAATCTTGTTCGCATACAATTAATAAGCATCTGTTGATGACCTACTATATATGTAGCCAATGTTAGGCAAAAACAAATGGAAAAATCACTTTAGAGAAGCAAATAAAACCATTGAGGTCATTATACTTTGTTGTTTGATTCCCTATTAATGGTTTTAAATATACACAATTATTTCCATTCTTTAATTAAAAACTCAAACTGGAGTATAAAATTATAACATTTTAATTTCACCAACTTGGGCACATCTTTCAATATAATAATCTTACCCACCAGTTACATGGATGGGCATTTTCTACAATTATCACCTCTAAATCATAGACTTAGAAGACTTAGTCTTCATGAATAAATACGAATTGCCTAAAGACAATTCTAGTTGTTATCAGAGATCAGTAGGATTATAAGTACTTTTAATTTTTTTATTTATACTTTGTTTTGGATTTTCCAACATTTTTACAAGGAGCATGCATTATGCTTATAATTAGAATAAACCATAGCCCTATACGATGATGATTTCCCCGAGTGATCAGACTGGAAGATCAGGCAGGGCACCCATCCAGTGCTGCCTGAGGTTGAGAATGCCACGTGGTTCTGGGAAGAGCCGCAAGTATCCTCTGTCTCAGCACCAAGCACTCTGCTGATGAGTCTTGATGCGAGGTTGAGACATCTAAAAAGAGTTTCATTTATTCCTTCCCAGATGAATCTCCAACTTCAAGGAATAAGAAATGCAAACATTTCAGAGATGAAGATGTCAAAAGATGTTAAGTAAAATCCTAAGAGATTCATTGGGGGATGATGCAAACAGCAATGAGGTGACTTCACGGAGCACTTGCTGAAGGAAAGTCCAGCGAGGTGTACGTTCTGTACACTTTTGTACGTTTCTGTAGAAGTGACATCTTTGAGGATCAACAAGGAAAACCAGCAAGAAGTATTTGAAGTCCAATTTAGGAAGACAGAAAGATAGTGGAGTGCCGTAGTTAAGATCACAGGTATTCTGGAAGTATACTTGTGGAGTTCCACTCCCAGCTCTGCCATTCCCTAGCTGAGTGCCTTTGGATAGGTTACTTAACTTCTCTGTGCCTCAAGCTCCTCATCTGAGAAATATCATCATTTCAGCCTCAATCCCACAGAATTGCTGTGAGGATTAAATAAGTACATTGCATGTACTATGTTTAGAACAGTTCCTAACTCATAAGAAACGCAAGAGAAAGAAAACTATTGTTAGCGTTATTCTCTTACAAAGGGGGATAGAAAAGTGGGAGAGAGTCTTTGTGAATCCCAAATAATTTTCTAGATAACTAGAACAGAGGGAGAACCATTTTGACCTGCTCCTGTTCTTGGGCTTTGGTATGACTCCAAAGTCCTGATACTTGGCATGTCTCCACATTAAAAGAACTCTATAAAGACCAAAGTACATCATAAAATTCTCTGAAGGAAGAGCAGAAGACAGTGCTCTCCACCAAGTAGATGTAATCACCTCAATAATGAATTTCTTTATGCCTTTACTAGGGCTTTGAGGTTTTAAAAAAATAATGATAGGGAAAGAGTATTTAACTAAAGTTTAAGCCTTGATTAAGCACAAAAATGTGACTTCTAAAATGCATAGTCTTTTGTAATAGTCTTATAATTTTTTCAAAAAATTATAGAGGTTGGTTTTTAACAAAATTAAATACAAAAACGCAAAGAACAAAGTAAAAAAAAAAGTCACCTAAAATTCCACCACTAGGATATAATCACTGTTAACATTTTGGACACGATTCCAAAAGATCTTTCTAGGCATGAAGATATTTTACATAAATGGGATTTTTTCATGCAGGTATTCAATAATCTGATTTTGCCTCACTTAATATGTGGTAGAAACTTCACATAAAAATAAAAATATACTCTACCTACATCACTAATTGTAATTGATTCCCTAGCTATTCCATGTGTACATCTGAATTCATTAAACCAGTTTTCTAGTTAGACATTTTAATGTCAAAGTTTTTGATATTATGAGATAATAAACAGTGGTATAATGAGGATACATCTTTTCCAACATGGTTTTTTCCTTAGATACCTAGAAATAGGACATCTGGTCAGATGTGAAGTACATTTCACATTTTAATATACCAAACAGCCCACCATAAAATGTATACCAAACTACACCTCCAACAAGAGTGTTTCCTCAAAGCCTTGCCAAGTTGTGTCAACATATCATATTTTTGATAATTTGTTAAGTTTTTAAAAGTTAAATGAGATACCACTTCACACCCATGAGGATGGCACTCCAGTAGAGGCAACAAGTGTTGGTGAGGATGTGGAGAAATTGGAACCCTCATGCACTGCTGGTGGGGATGTAGAAATCATGCAACCACTTTGGAAAGTTGTCTGGTAGTTCCTCAAAAAGTTAAATGTAGATTATCATATGATCCAGCAATTCCACTCCTGATATATACCCAAGAGAAATTAAAGCATCTCTAGCTCATACAAAAACTTACATACAAATGTTCACAGCAGCAGCGTTCTTAATAGGCAAAAAGTGGAAACCACCCAAATGTCCATCAACCGATAAACAGATAAATACAATATAATATGTCCATACAATAAAAAGAAGTACTGATTCATGCTACAACACAGATGGAACTTGAAAACACTGTATAGGCATATCTCATTTTATTGGACTTCACTTTCTTGTGCTTTGTCTTGTGCTTTGTAGATACTGCTTTTTTCTTTCTTTTTTTTTTTTTACAAATTGAAGACTGACAGCAACTCTGGCATTGAGGAGGGTTCATCGGTGTCATTTCTCCAATAGCATGTGCTCAATTAGTGTCTCTGTGCCACATTTGTATAATTCTCATTAAATTTCAAACTTTTATGATATATCTCTTATAGTGATCTATTATTAGAGATCTTTGGTGATGCTATTGTAATTATTTTGGGACACCATGAACTGCACCCATATGAGATGGAGAACTTGATTGATAAATGTTTGTGTATTCTGACTGTTCCACCAATCAGCCATTCCTTCCTCCTTCCTCCCTCCCTCCCTTCAGGCCTCTCTATTCCCTGAGACAACAATACTAAAATCAGTCAATTAATATCCCTACAATTGCCTCTAAGTGTTCAAGTCAAAGGAAAAGTTGCATGCCCCTCATTTTAAATCAAGAGCTAGAATAATTAAATTTAGTGAGGAAGACATGCCAAAAGCAGAGAGAGGCTGAAAACCAGGCCTCTTGCACCAAACAGTTGGCCACGTTGTGAATGTAGAGGAAAAGTTCTTGAAGAAAATTAAAAGTGCTTCTCCAGTGAACACACAAAGGATAAGAAAGCAAAACAGCCTTACTGCGGATAGGGCGAGAGCTTTAGTGGTCTGCATAGAAGATCAAACCAGCCTTGCATTCCCTCAAGCCAAAGCCTAATCCAGAGTAAGATCCTAACTCTCTTCAATTCTATGAAGGTGGAGAGAGGTGAAAAAACTGCAGAAAAGAAGTTGGAAGCTAGCAGAGGCTGGTTCATGAGGTTTAAGGAAAGACGCCATTTCTGTAACAAAAGTGCAAGGTGACGCAGCACATGCTGATGGAGAAGCTGCAGCAAGTTATCCAGAAGATCCAGTTCAGCTCATTGATGAAGGCAGTTACACTAAACAGCAGATTCTCAGCATAGATAAAATAGCCTTCTATTGGAAGAAGATGCCATCTAGGACTTTTGCAGCTATAGAGAAGAAGTCAATGCTTGGCTTCAAAGCTCCAAAGGACAGGCCAATTCTCTTGTTAGGGGCTAATACAGCTGGTGACTAAGTTGAAGCCAGAGCTTATTTACCATTCTGAAAATCCTAGGGCCCTTATGAATTATGCCAAATCTAGCCAGACTCAGTGGTGCTGCCTATCAACTATTCAGGAGGCTGAGACAGGAGGATTGCTTGAGTGAGCCCAGGATTTCAAAGCTATAGTGGGGCAATGATCATGTCTGTAAACAGTCATTGCACTCCAGCCTGGGCAATGCAGTAAGACCATGGAAGAAGAAGAAGAAAAGTCAGAAGGGGAGGAGAGGAGGAGGAGGGGAGGAGGAGGGGAGAGGATGAGGAGGAGGAGGAGGAGGAGAAGAAGAAGAAGAAGAGGAAGAAGAAGAAGAGGAGGAGGAAGATGAAGGAGGGAAAAAGAATTATGCTAAATCTACTCTGCCTGTTCTCTATAAATGAAACAACAAAGCCTGGATGACAGGATATCTGTTTACGGCATGGCTTACTGAATGTTTTAAACCCACTGTTGAGACTTTCTGCTCAGAAAAAAAAGATTCCTGTCAAAATGTTACCGCTCATTGACCAGTGGACTTGGTCACCCAAGAGCTCTGATGGAGATGTACAAGGAGATGAATGTTGTGTTCATGCCCACTAACACAACATCCATTCTTCAGCCCATGGTTAAGAAGTCATCTTGACTTTCAAGTCTTATTATTTGAGAAATACATTTCATAAAGCTACAGCTGCCATAGAGAGTGATTCCTCTGATGGATCTGGGTGAAGTAAATTAAAAACTTTCCAGAAAGGATTCACCATTTTAGATGCCTTTAAGAACATTTGTGATTCATGGGAGGAGCTCAAAATATCAATATTAACAGGAGTTTAGAAGAAGTTGATCCCAACCCTCATGGATGACTTTGAGGGGTGCAAGACTTCAGTGAAGGAAGTCACTGCAGATGGGGCAGAAATA